GAGTGAAGGAGCCTCTATGATCTATTTATAAAAGCCAGTTACTTATGCGGACTCAGTTAGCAATCCGTATCTCACTGGGACAGACACATTCGGTCAACCGGAAAGGTGGAAAAGATAGCTTCTGTGTGAATAACCCACCGTGGGATGTAACCTTAAGACAGACTACCTCCTACTGAAATCTCGACAATTTTCTACAAAATATCCTGCAACGATGCAGGTTGTAACTATGTCAGCAAGACTGAACGAAAATTGCGGACCCGCTTACATGAGCGCAAAGAGACGGCTCGGAGGCTAGACCCTAACGCACAGTCTACAACTCATATTGGAGAAGCTAGCCATGCTTTTGAGATTCAGAGAACGATGTTCTTAGACCGAGGCACTTAAAACACGGATCAAGTAATACTTGAGGCACAGTATTGAGATACCAATTCTATCAACAGGCATCCAGACCTTCTCACGAGGTATAAAATCCTGCGTAAAGACCAGAACCGGATAGTCACACCGAACTTAAGAAGTGCGAGCGAACACCGCCCCACAAAGAACGAACCCTAAGAAGAGGCGGGCTTTCGAGCAGCCTTCATTTAGGTGACGAGGCGTAACACGCCAGCGGCTTTCAAGTCCCACAATCGTCCGCCAAAAGTCCGAGATAGCGAAAGAGAAAAAAAATAGCGGAGTCTAAGGCCGACGTGGATCGATATTTGACAGCAAACACTGTAAGGACGGACAGCTGACCAAGCCATTCGAAGCCTTAGTAACAATACAAATCTGTTGTGGTGATCAACTTCAATTTGTCGGATTTTCATCCAGGAACCCTCACTTTTGGAAATCTGAATGTCAGTAATGCCATTCTGTTATTGTGCCTCTACTGGCTGGACTCAAATGTGAACTGCAAGGCACGGGGGGTCCACTGTGCCCCCTAACGCGATCGACGATCGTCCATCTACCGCCGAAGCAGAAGAAGGCAACGACAAAGAAAACCAACTGGTTACTTACCTCCGACACTACAGGTGGTTAGGGATGAGGCAGCGTCGTCTGCTTGGTTGATAGTTAGAGTGAAGAAGACGCCACGACTTGTTCCAACCCAGAGGTGAGCGGTGGTAGTGGTATCTAGAGGAAAAAAATAGGTAAAAGGCAAGGACACGATTACAGTCTAATCTCAGCAGAGGGAGGTGTTACGTGTATGAAGGCTAAAAACAGTACTTTCAGTTGATTTCACATAAGGTCATATGAAGTTGGTACGCAAAAGCCGAGGACAGATCTGCAAAATTTCCCTCAGGTACCTCCTCTTCGGGTTCGGTTTAAAATGCTGAGAAATATTAGACGGCCTTGTGTACTGGGTTGAATCACATCGGAAACGAAGTGAAGAGCTCCGGGAACTTGCTGATGAGGTGAACTCCTTGCAGAAATTGGCATATCTGAGCTCTTAATTGACACCTGTGTCGAGAGCACGACGCCGAAAGTCTTTGTGCATAACCACTTAAGACGGAAATTGAAAGACTCCGCAGATAGATTTGCTAATTCACATGGAAATACCAATATCTTTTTTATGTCGGGTCACCTCGACTATCAAAAGTGGTCACGATGAAGATTAACGATAATGTATTTAGGAAAAAGGAAGACGAAGGAAGAGTTTATGACCATCAAAAACGGAGGGATTGAAAGAAGATGAAGCAGAAGAAAAAAATAGAAGACGAAAGGAAAGACGCAAGAGGAAAGGGGAAGAAAATGAGTAGATTAAAATGAGAAAAGACACAAACGAGGGATTCGAAGAAGAAGAAGAAGAAGAAGA